CCCTACATCGTACCTACCCACATCTCGAAGGGTGATGTATTTTTCGAGATTGCTTATAACGAAGGTAATTGTGGATCAATAATAATACTTTTCTCTTCTTATTACATCACAATCATAACTAATTGGCTTTATTTTTGTTGCGTATCATTCTATACTATATTAGAAATATATAAATAATTATTTCTTATGATCCATACAAGCCTTTGAAAAGTATTAGTAAATGTATGAAAAGTAAAATGTTGTGTTGAATGAGAATATGGTTACAATAACCAGGTTAGTAAGTTAAAGCATCAAGATAATGTTTTTAGTACGTGATTGTTTTACGCCACAGTCTATAGAGACTTCACAATACTATTTTAACTAACTGTTATTAAATATATGCCATTTATCTGTATGTACCTCCATCTATCACAGTCCAAGCGCCATGTAGATTGATTTCTATAACAGAAGCGTTATTAATGTTGGGTTTTTTAAAACAAAAGAAATTCTTATGAAATATTTGACCTCACCGCCCACACAGAACAAGCAATAAACGTCTCGTGTAGCCATGGACACCAAGGCGAGTCGTGACTTAATAATTGACGAAATTTGCCAATTGTAATTACATCATGCGTATGGTTTTATCTCCATTAAGATACATTCAACATTTTAGGATTCATAAAGTAATGTTAGGTGGTCACCTAGAGGTTAAAAGGCTCGCCTCTCGTGCATGAGGGCGCGGGTTAGATCCTGACAAGTACTAATTTGATTTATCCGATTCATATGTACTTTATAAGAGTATTTAGACAGCACTGATGAAGGAAAACATCATGAGGAATCCTGGACTTATAACAAATAATAAGTTTGAAATCACCAACCCGTCTTGAGCAAGCGTGGTTAATGCTCAAATTTTCTCCATGTGAGAAGATGTTATACTAAACTAAACTCACAACACTTAGAATATATGCTATATATAATATATAAATCATACGGAACCATAGTGTTATCGGAATGAACATTTTTTTCTTTCATTTTACCACATTTTACTACACGTAATGGGTAGTGCGAGGTTGTAGCGGGAGGCGGGTAATTGACGCGAGCATGTTAATTATAACGCCGTATATTATTAATGGCAGCTGTTGGACAGACACTTCCTCATACCCCTGGTTATGTTTGAACACCTAATTTTACAGGAAGTCAACATTATGCAAAGTTTCATATTTTGAAGGACGTACTGCGTACATATTTCCTGATTTAGTAAGTACCTACAGCGAATTTAAAATATATACACACTATTATGGCAACTAAATTTTTGATAATATCCTTAGTACAAGTTTCCATAGTCACGCACACGAAATATTTCCCGTTTTTTCTTCAATTACCTACGTTAATACTGTTATTTGTAAAGTTTTATGAATGAGAAACTACTAACGCTGTGTATACAGTGTGGCGATAAAAACTCATAGTAATCTTACAGGTATCAAGCTATACAAATAATAATATATAATATAATATGATTCTTTAATGATCAAATAACATCAATACATATCATATAACTAATCTGTCATAAATCTGGCCAAGGATAACACAACCACAGACTGCACTCAGAAATGTAGATTATAAAATAGTTTAAACTTATATTCATCCAATATAGTATTGTCAAAACATAAATATTAATAACTAGCTTTCCGGCCGCAGCTTCGCCCGCGTGGAGTTCGGTTATATAGCGTCTCCAAGAGAACCTTTCAAAAGTCTGGGATATAAACTATCCTATGTTATCTCTCAAGGTCAACTCTATCTCTGTACCAAATTTCATTAAAATCAGTTCATTGGTTTAGGCGTGAAAGCGTAACCGACAGACAGACAGAGTTACTTTCGCATTTATAATATTAGTAGGGATTGTAAGGATTTATATAGTCAGAATACTTTATAACTTTGTTATTATACAAAAGCCAACTATATTTGGTAATAATTAAGACTGATATTTGAATGTAGCCTTAAATCACTTTTAGTTCAATGAGTACATTTGACGTGTCTGTACAGTTCCGGTTGTCAGCATGACATAAATTTTAAGTAATAAATAAAAATACAATCAATCTGTGTCTATGATTTGTAATCAACTTTGTTTAAGGATATGAAATATACGGGAAACATTGATTATAAAAGAATTTTAAGTACAACGAAACGATTTTAGTAATAAAAAGAATAATTAGTACAACATGGATGAAATAAAAGAGTAATATTATAACAGTCAGTGGTGGCCTGGTGGTTAAAAGACCCGCCTCTCATGCACGAGGGCGCGGGTTCGATCCTGCCAAGTACCAATGTGATTTTTCCGAGTCATATGTACTTTCTAAGAGTATTTAGACATCACTGATTAATGCATTCCCAAAGAGGGTTGATGTCAGGCAGGCGACCGGTCGTAAAAACAATTAGCCAAAACAATTCACAACATGCAAGGCAGACCCTGGCTAAAGCTGGAAAATTGCCAGGAAGAAGAAGATTATCAGTACTACAGTATATATATGATTTTGTATTAATATAATATTAATAATGTTGTAAAATCTAGATAATTAATAAAGGTTCTACAGGAATGAAAGTTAAATTCAGTTATTTGTTCTGATATCTGCTTGAATTAAAAAATTCATTTGCTCTTGTGTTTAAGCTGAAATTTCAATAGAGAAATCCTTGTCCATCACAATGGTTCATTGAATACAATCACATAGCTTTTAACTATTACATTTTAACAGAAAAATTGAAAATACAATTCACAGAAAAAAAGCCGTCGGCTAATACTAGTGCTTGTATAAAGTGCCTTATGTTTAGTCATCCTGAAATTTTGTTAGAATACTTCTTGATTTTTAAAACATTTTTTATTGACGAGTAACACAAAAAAGACAACTAATATATTAAGTACAAAATAAATGTCCCTATTCACTTTTCCTTTCGTATATTTTAAATAATCAATTTTAATTGTTTTAGAACATTTTACTCAACTTTAGGAAACTTAGAACTGAGAATTGTTAATTAATTCCAATATATATTATTATAATTACATTGAATCAAAATGAAATTACAATACATAATTTAAGTGTATATTTTGTATGTTAGTAATCTATACTAATATTATAAAGCTGAAGAGTTTGTTTGTTTGAAAGCGCTAATCTCCGAAACTACTGGTTCGAATTGAATAATTATTTTTTTGTTGGATAGTCCAGTTATCGAGGAAGGCTGTGGTCTATATAACATCACGCTATGATCAATAGGAGCAAAGATATAGTGGTAAATGTGTAAAAAACGGGAGAAATTATTTCATCTTTGAAGCCTTCCGTTGCGTGCGCCGTGAAAACGGTTACACAAGTTACAAGATACACAAAAAATATGTTTTAAAGAATAATAGCTCTTTTAATGATCAAAAAAACAGTCCGCGATAGTATATATCTATCTTTTAAGATTTACTCACAAAAACCGTTTTTATGGTACTTAATTTGGTCGAAATAATCTGTTTAATTTGTATCAACATAATAATATTAATCTTTATTCAAATAAACAAATAAATAAGTTATTGGTTAAGAGTACTTCATTGTGAATTTAAAAAAACATAGGTTTCATTCTGAAAATTCTACGGGAACTCAACCATTCCGAACCCCGCAAGAACGGGAACTATGTGGGAAGAACCAAAAATCTGCCGTAAGTCACTATTCCACGCGGACGGAGTCGCGGCAAAAGCTAGTATTTGATATAAAACATAAACTATGTATATAATGAGTGTTGGTCGTAGAGCTCCTTAACATTGATCGACATTAAATAACTCGGGCTGTGACGAATCACCGTCATCACATGAGAAACATATTGACGGACACTTAGACTACGATAATAATGTTATAAGTTCATTATTATATATAAATATTTATAATATTTATAAGAAAAATTAGTATGTATTTATAGTATAGTATAAAAGTGTCAAAATGCCTAAAATGATTCTACCTGGCACCAGGGGTAGAGGAAGGTCGAAAAACCGTCGGCTTGATGTCGTGCAGGATGACATGCGTGCCAATGGACTCAATAAGAAGGATGCCGAAGACTGGGAAAAGTGGAGGAGACTGAGTAGGAAAGCGGACCCTGGGTTCTCCCGCCCTGGGTGGGACGAGCGACCGGGATAAACTCTAAGATGATGATGATAAAAGTGTTAAAAGTATCGTTTCAGTGTCACAGTAATGATTTTAATACTGGGTGTAATTAATTAATATTCGATTTTAAACAATAATTGTAAATAATATACTATGAAATTTAATTAATTACAAACTAATCAGGAATCACATATATAGGTGTAATTATAAATAAATATATAGAATGATTTAGATAAGGGGCCCATTAAACCTACACCTGGGTCGCAAGTCCCAGTCACTGTTGAAGCTCCTCTCCCTGCAACGCGATGAACCCGGTACACGCACTTGGAAACCATTGAGTGATAAGAGGTTTCGCCTCTATATTTGTGTATATATTCGGAAATGATATCTCTCACGATCTCTGAAGACTCCTCAGTAGATGCTGTAAATCTAAAACAGTTAACTGGTCAATTTTAGAGTTATTTTTGTTAAAATATAACTATTACTCTTCATACTATTCGATCTAACTTATCTCTACGAACGGTACAGCGTATAAAACTAATTGAAAGAAAGCTGAAAAATGTAGCATCATTCCGTATCAATGAAATTTAACAAGTATAGTCCAAATTTTAACCATCCTGAGTTTTCAACGTCTTTACAAAAAAGACAGGATGCTCTACTAGTGTTACATTTCGCGAAATAAGATCTGATGTTAGTGTCGCGACACAAAAAATGTGATATATAATATGAAATATATATTTTTGACTTCCTCAACCCTGTCATATAAAATGCATCTATTACGATAGTAAGTGGTAGGTTGTAAGTTGTAAGTTGTAGGTGGTAGGTAACAGACAGTCGCGTGTGTACCACCGAGCTAGTTGAACGTGTGTCAGTTATAATAACGTTATTAAAATGAAATCTACAATCGTAAGTTTATATATGTTATTTATTTTTATAGAAATTTTTTTTTTATTTTATGTTTGTGTATTGTTCAATATTATTACTCAGTGAATTTTGAATAATTTTCTATAAAAATTTTATGTTATTTTATATATAATATGGGTAATCTTCTTCTTCTATATATATAAAAATGGATTGCTGTTCCTTAGTCTCGCTAAAACTCGAGAACAGCTGAACCGATTTGGTTAATTTTAGTCTTGAAATACTCCTGGAAGTCCAGGGAAGGTTTAAAAGGTGAGAAAAATTTGAATAATTGCCGGGAAAACCCTAAAAACAGCCCTTTTCTATTTCCCATACAAACGATTTTTTGACATTAGACTTGACAACTAACTAATATGTCAATCATTCTGTTCGATTGAAACAGTATAAATATAATAAATACCTATACCGGGTTATTGAAGACGGAATAGAGTTTGCCAGCTATACCTATATTACTAATGACGAAATTAACGCGGACGAAGTCGCGGGCAAAAACTAGTATATATATAAAAATGGATTGCTGTTCCTTAGTCTCGCTAAAACTCGAGAACAGCTGACCGGATTTATCTTATCTTAGTCTTGAAATATTCGTGGAGGTTCAGGGAAGGTATAAAAGCTTAAAAAAAATGATTCATTACTGGGAAAACCATAAAAATATCCCTTTTCTATTTCCCATACAAACGTTCTTTTTGACATTAGATTTGACAAATAACTAATATGTCAATCATTCTGTCGCAGTTCAAAACACGGAGATTTATGGCTTACAGGTAAACTCCAAAAATATAAATAAAGAAACGTAATAGATATTTCTTGATTATAGGGTGATACGAAGTTCGCCAGGTCTTCTAGTTAAATATAAAAAAATGATCTATTTCTGAATTTGAATCCAAAAAAAAGGATTTTTTTTGACTCAAATTGACTTCTAAATATTACTTTAAGAAGATAATTCAAAATATCTTTAAATCATAAGACTCAAGTAACAAGTCACGTAGAAAGAAGAAATGAGATCTGTTTACCACAAACATGTAATATTAATAATGATATTAAAACAAGAAAAGAAAGTTTACGGTAATCATAAGTTGTTTACACTTAGTTTACATAACGCACTTGTTTACATTTAATAATATAAGCTGAGAGAAATATTAATGATGACTATGATATAGTGTTGTTCCAACGCCTCACACGCATCACTATGATATAGTGTTGTACACATTCTGAACGGATCATTGAACAATGAGTACTTATTTTGTAAGTTCCGGACTGTCGTATAATTAATGGAAACTTTTATAATTATAAAGTAACTTGTAATAAAATATTTTGAGAACTAGTTCACTAAAACATTGTTTAATAAATAATAAAATAGGACATATTATTAAGACGACTTTTTCGTCACAAACGTCTATTTTATACATTTTTTATTAAAATAATTTTGACTTCTCAATTAGATTTTTAATGTTTTATTAAAAAACTCTACAATCCATGCAAAAACATAATAAATTATTTCATGTCCTTTAATAACGTCCTCTGAATTTCTTTTCGTCAAAAAAACTGAATTTGTTCATATAAATATTCATTTTAAATGAATTATTTCGAAATCTTAATATATATAAGTGTATTAAATATTAAATTCTGAATATATTTAATCCACTTCCAGCATCACATGTCTCAATACATAAATATTGTAACAGTTCGCGTTTTAACACGACCTTATAACACACCAGAAGTTGTATAAGCCTGGAGTATCGATACATGTTAATTAGCTTTTCATATTCAAATGTATTTTCTCGTTATATAACGTGAGGTCACTCAACTCACTTCATATAACTTTATATGAGAAGTATTTAATAATATTATTAATCTTTAACCCCCAATAAATCAAATTTATGTCTGTCTGTGTCATAGTAGCTCTTAAACGAATCAACCGATTTCAATGCGGTTTTTTCATTTGAAAATGAATTTCTGTATGAAGGTTCCTAGGTACGTTTGGTTACTATAAATCCAGCAGTATAAGAGCCCCTTACAAAATGATGTACGACATTTTTGTCATATGATTTCCCGATTGATTGCCTTAGTTATACCATTATTTTTGTTAAATTATCCAATACATTCACGATTGAAGACTAGTTAATTAAATCATTGTTTTTTCCTTCAGGTAGTCATATTTTCTCTCCTCGCGAGCTCCTACGCTATATCCCAGAGCTTCTCTGGACCGATCTCAGCAGCATCACAGTCGCAGATAAGATTCGCGATCGAGAACAAATACGACGACACCGGCCCGGGGGCTAAAGGCCCGGAGTACGCTTACAACACATACAAGACCTTAGGAGAGGCTCTTATTAGCTACCTCGATGATCCTGACACCAAGCTTCCCCAAGGAGAGAGAGAGAGGGCTGTCGCTTCCCTTCAAATACCACCCTTACACACACCGATAAGACAATACCCCAAAACCGTCGAAGAATACACGGGATACAAATCAACAGAAAGACCAGCACTCACACAGTACAACCTACCCAAAGAGTATTACAGACCAGCCATCGGTGTTAATGAGGACCAAATAAATAGTATCGGGAACAATTACCTAAAAGCCAATGATGGTGTAAGGTTCCAAAGAGTACAGCTAGTACAGAGCAGGCCGTCAGGGTCAGTGTACTACAAGCAGCCACAATCCCAGCAAACCTTTAGCTCATTCAATCCTAACCCTAAATATAGCTTCTCTTACGGCGTCCACGTGAGTAGATAGTATAAGTACATTATTTATAATCTAGTTCAATTAATAAATAAACACTCTTTATAGTACAACAGACTTATTTCTTTTATTTCTAAATTGTAGTATTCAATAAAACTATATTAAATTCGTCATGTATGTATGTATTGTGCTAAGTATCAAACTGAATAACAGCAACTAATATAATAAAGTTATCTATCTACAGTACATACATTTGACATCATATTATTTTAACAATAATGAGTAAGCATACTTACAACATAACACAAATATGCAACGGGTTTTTTATTTAACAATAAGAAATACGTATTTTTTTTTTTTGGCAAGCGCCACTCTAAATCACTTTTAGACTTTTCTGTTACTAGTCATGAAATTTGCGTGTTATACAAACACAATCTCCACTATCTCTTCCATCTATATCTGTTCAGTTTTCATATAATTATGAAGAAATTATTCACAAAGCTATCATCTGAATCTCATTGTTTTCACACATCTATTGTTTTAACACTGACAAGTTTGAGTCACGTCTTACTTCTATGATAGTACAACCTTATATGTGAGTCTTCTTCTACTTGGCAATTTCCCAGCTTAAGCCAGGGTCTGCCTTACATGTTCTAAATAGTTTTGTTTTATTGTTTTTACGACATCCGCCTGCCTGACATCAACCCTCTTTATTCAACCTTATATTATGAGAATAGAAACATATTTAATATTTTTCAATAAAACTAAATTCCTATGTTTTTTAGTCGAGCCTGACCTCGACACACTAAGTAACTGGTTCCGGGTACATGAACATTTTTGTAATCGCGAATAATATGAAAATAATCATTTAATTAATTATACATTTATTAGTTTCTTAAATTAAATAACATTCCTTTAATATTAAACTAGCAATTTATATAACTATTCCCATGTGGATTATATACTAACTCCTTCATGTAATCTACTTCGTATGCACATACAGAACATGTATAACTTTCCTATATTTAGTTTTCTTTTTCTTTAATAAATAAAAATTATTTTAAAATGGAAACTATTATAAGTTCAACAATAGTTCATTGAAAGAGTTCCTCGGACCGTGACCACTGAGTACCGACCACAGAGTGTCGATCAACTTTCACCAGATTTGTTCATTTATATCCTCTCAATACGAATTAATAAAAATTATAATATTTGTTATTTAACGTAATATAGTTTTGTAACAATTAATATTCTTAATAACAGTCTATTTAATATTGTAATAGTTAAGTCTGTTCTACATCCCTACTAATACTATAAATGCAAAAGTAACTCTGTCTGTCTGTCTGTTACGCTTTCACGCCTAAACCACTGAACTGATTTTAATGAAATTTGGTACAGAGATAGAGTTGACCTTGAGAAAGAACATAGGATAGTTTTCATCTCAGACTTTTGAAAGGTTCTCTTGGAAACGCGATATAACCGAACTCCATGCGGGCGAAGTTGCGGGCGGAAAGCTAGTTATTCATATATAAAGTTTATTGTGTTTGTATATACATATATTATTATATAGTACATGAGGGAATTAAGGCCTCGCTAAAGAAAAATTGTTGTAAAATAAATACTGATAGATAATAGAATCAACAAGTTTTATTAGGTAATCAGTACTTTATTTAGGCAAGTACAAAATAAAAAACAAAAAATAGCAACTTCTCCGTGAAACTTTAACAATGTTTAGGCCTTATTACCCGACAGGCGTTAATGCTCGCATGTACCTTACTGTAACTCTCCAATCCATCTTGAAAATAGGTGATGTATACCAGACTTATATATCATGAAAAATTTAATTTCAATAAAACCTTCATTTAAATTTCACTTCTTCCATATTAAATAACAATCTATTTATTTCTCTTATTTTTTTTCGTAATTTAATACAATGTGTCCCCGGCTTTATATCCGCCAACGACTCATGCAATCATGTAATCAAATTGATGTTCAGTAAAAGCAGAACACACGCGTTGAGCAACTATTATATTAATGTATTATTTACACGGTCATTATATACTAAATATATTTAAAGTTTATATCAAAATTGTATACATATAAACGAATAAATAGCCGAGGATAAAACTATCATTAAGTTACGAGCCACTTTAATAAAATAACGGATGAGTTCTAAACTTTGATGTAATCGTAAAATAAACAAGATAATTGCGTAAAATTTTCAAAATATATTAAAATTCAAAATGAGTTGTAACATTAACATTAGGAAACGAGATGTTATGTTAACTTGGACCGGTGATACAGTCACCTTGAACCAAATCATTTATAAAGAACACGAGGCAGTCATCACGAGAGAAAGTCGAGAGAAACTTGAATTAAACGTACGGTCATTACATTTAAAGTAAAATAATATGTTGTGTCACTGTAGAAACTAAAACGAACGTGTGTTGAATGTTGAGAGGAGTCAGGGTATAGAGTTAACTTACGTAACACGAAGAAGAAGTAAAATATAATTTTTATATGGTTTCATTGTTTTAATTGCACGAAGCAGATAGTATATTAATTATAGTAATAAAGACCAAATTGATTCAGGTACTTTAATTTTTTTTCTTTTAACTATAGCAATAAAAGTACAGTTGCTACCAAACAGAGAGGAAGTTTTGTATTTTTTTTTAATTCACTTTTCACTTCATAAAATGGTAACTTGGACCATACGTTAATTTAGTATATTTTATATTTCGCCTTAACTAACCAACCCTTTAATGTTTAAATCCTTCGTGCTAATACCACTTAATCACAGAATTATAAAGTTTTTAGTAACTACTATCTATCTAAAAGCTGTGAATTTGTGTTTTCCATCAAGTTTTTTTTTTAAATACATTATTTTCTAAATTAAACTAATATTTTGCGGATATACTACGCGACTTTACGTTTTAATTCAAAAAAAAAATTAAAACAAGATATAACGACCTTTCGATTCAAAAATTTGTTAGTTCTTAAGAATACTTTATTACTTTAGACAAAATTGTATTTTATTATTATTAATGTTTTGTCTACATGACAACGTCGAAACGAAACTATTCCGACAATTTTTTTTTAATATTTTGACAATCAAATTATCTGTCAACGACTCCATGTCTAAAAACTGGATAAATTCAATGTTAGGCAAAATAACATAGCAATATTTATCAAGTTTTAATTTATGAATGTAAAACAAAAATACATATAACCTTAGCACTACATTTGCGCGAGTGACTTCGAAGCAAGTTTAACCTACATAGATAATTCATTAAAAATATGTAGGTAAGCGTCTGTAATGTTCTTTTTGTTGTAATAATTAAGACATTTTTTTAGTAACATGTCTATGGCTTGTTATCGCGATGACCGCTGATAGCATTACGACATTTTAAGTAGATCAATGTCGGACAATTACTTCTATGTTTAACATTTAATACAGAAACAATACACACGAGGTTATATTACTCTTATATTTTCTCTGTACATCGCTGGTTATTACCTAATGTTATGTTAATTTCAAGTACACGCACAGCAATGGATGTTAACAATAAAGAATGCTTGCCTTGTTACGGATCAAGGTAGGAAGTGTCGGTGGTTATGCAACTCACGCGCATGAACTAATGAAAGTATTTTTTTTTGTTTTGATCTTTTAGTTTTGGTAACAGAGTTAATTCTTATGAAACTTGAAATATATGAAGTCTTTACGTAATACTGCTTAAGGAAGACGCGATCGCTGTTTCAACTCAATATTACTTAACTTAATAAAAATATTAAGATTTAAATTTTTTACTTAACCTTCCACTTTTATTATTAATGTCAATGTATAAAATATTAATAATTGAGTTATTTTAAGATCGATGACCTTCAACACTTTATTCTTATATTACTTTCATCCGGACTCTTAATATATTAATTACTTAGATCTTGGTGTTAAATTACATAAATTTAATTTTTATCGTGAAAAAAGATTGTGATATCCATACTTCAGACACTCCATATCAAATTACTTTACTTATTTTAGTCCATATAGGTATCAATGATAAAACATTTCTTGTTTATCAAATCACAATATGTAGGAACATTATTCACACCAATAAAATATAACAAACTCATATTAAACAGTGAGCGGTAATCGTATAGTTCAGACACCACGTGTTGCTCTACTATAGACATTAATGGAACAATCAATTTACAATAAGCATGTCTCTTTATAATATTTCTATCTTTTTGATTCATTTATGCCCCTTTAATAACCCAAATTATATGAGGATTGAAGAATTAGTAATATATTTTAAAAAGGAAGCAAAAGAATTTTATTACTTTTAGAAATTTTTTCCTTGAGATTTTCTGCAAAAAACTAGTTATACTAAAAGTCTATTAACTATCTGTGGTGGTGACCCCAATTAACATTACTGTTATGGTTAAGAAACTTGTGAATAGCAAGAATACTACTTACACTCGTAAATAGCAAAAAAATTGTCACTTATTAATATGTTATTAAAACAAGAGACTTAGTTCTAGCTTGTATATTTTCTATACTTTTTATACCCCGCGTACATTTTTCCTTCACCTAGGAATATTATTGTGTATATCCAGTTTATAGATTTGGTAAAAATTCTCTTTCAGCTCAATGAAACAAATTTATATTAATAATAAAAATATAAATAAAAAAATTATTTGAACCTTATCAAGGTTTCGGCAATCAAAACGTTTAAAAGCAGATAGTTTTAAGAAGTTTATTAAAACTTAAATTCTGACAAAAAATACATACAGGCAAAAAAATCTTTCAATCAAGTCAGATACAACATTATCTGCATTTTAATATTAATTACGGCTATAATTCCTCGTCTTATATAAGAAATGAATCATCCAAAGGCTTCTCATTCCAGGATAAATCAACAGGAGACAGTAAGTCAGCTCACGAGACTCGTACTGATGGAGTGGTCCGAGGATACTATACCTTCATGGATGCTGATGGAAAACAACGAACGGTTCACTACACCGCTGATGACCAGCAAGGGTTTAGAGCCACTGTACAGAGGTCCACATCCAATATACAGTGAGCAACACGAAAAATTGAGTTAAAAACTTTTAATAGTGTTGTATAGACCGTTAGTCTTAAGCTGAGCTTTGCATTTGTGTGAATGAAAGTAAAAGTAGAGTTAGATAAAAAACTTTTAGAATTCAATATTATTATATGTTAAATAGATACATAATATAAGTGCGAGAGTTATTCTAGATTAAAAATAAAATAAGCGAAACATGTAAAAGGCTAAATGGAAATATTATGGAAAAAAAATTACGTAATAAAATTTTTGAGAAAACAATACAAATTTTTCTTCTTGAAGTTGCTACCAGTACAAAGGGTGAAGTGTGGAAGGTACGGGGCGGAGTAAAATCAGAATAAACCGGTTCAAAACTAGAAAAGAACGTGGCATTCAAAAATTTGGCATCACACCTACACTATCCGTGTGCCCTCACACAATTGCAAAGCTCAGCTTAAATCAAACGCACTATAAATCAGTAATTTTTTAATATGAATGTCAATATAATATTTTACTGTTAAAAAGTAATTACTTTGTTTATATTTATGGTTTAATTGTGAATGTAAAAGGGTTATATTAGTTTAAATAATAACAAACATTTTTTTATATTTTTTTACTGTTTATTATTTATAAGTAGTTAAATATCTTGTAACCTCTAATATAAAATTTAATTAAACTTGCGCTTATCACTTACATGTAATATATGTACCTAGTACCTTATAGTTTTATAAGCATATTGTACACTGAATTTGTAAATAATGAATTATTCGTCAATATTTTTGTCCACCTTCTTAATGTAGAAATAAAATGAATTATAATATTGAGCTGTTTTCATTTATTACATACGTAAGATGTAAAACACGTATGTTTTCGTTGTTTTTTTTACTAAAAATATCTTCAGGATCTATCCAATCGTTAAAATCAGTTTCTCAAACATAATTTGATAAAATTATATAAAATACTTGTCTATTGAGTACAATCGACATACTAAAAATAGTATTTATAAATATACAAACATAAATCGTGAACCAGAAAATAAATAAAAAAATAGGTGTTCGTTTTAATTTTTTTCTTTGAAAACATTTAAGTGTTTTCAGTGGACATGTATGTATATTCTCTCCACACCTTGAATAGGAAGTCTTTTGTAAGTCAGGTGCCTACTGAGACTTAGCTAAAATCCCTGTTTTTATATATTTTATACTCAACATATAAAAATTTGATGGACTGATAATATTAAACACTTATCGTTGATCAGCTACAAAGCTCCCAAGACAAATTTTTGTAGCCGTCTCTAATGAACTCAATAGACTTCCAGAACGAAATTCTGTCAGTATTTAAGACTAGAAGTTTCGTTAATGAATGCGTTAAATTATTTCTTCCAAACACCTTCGATCTGTCAGCTCCAAGGTCCCATGCAGTAATCCAATCTTATGTAACATCACAGTGTTGGCTGGCTACATGGCTACATGGCACCCTAACCTCCGGTGTGACAGATATTGTAAGCGTACCATAATTATTTGTATTTTATGGACAGAGATAGAGACGTTGTTGTTTTCTGGAGAAAGAACGAGTCCACGCTTCATCAGAGGATTACCTTGGTCCTTTTGATGTCACTAACTCGTTACAGTCTTGGGTCATATGATATTTTTTAACAGAAGATGACAAAATCTACTACTAGTAAAGTCTTCAAGCCTAAATTCTACGAATTTTTAGAGGAATGACCTCAATGAAGGACTTAAACCTGTAAGAATATACTCCCTATAAGGATTCTCTATATATAAGAAAGTGTACTAATATACTTTTGGGATTACAATTAAAAAACTTCTCAATTTCTCTCATAGTTTAGTTTATCTTAATACCGTCATAGTATTCATTTAATTAAAAAAACTTAGCAAAATGTTAAATTGAGATAATATCACGTCAAATGAGCAAGGTGCTGTAATAAGAAAAATTATTCATACTTTATATGACTAGCAATATCTTGATATACCTAATGAGGATTTATACTAAATATATTAATTGTAATATTAGGTACAATAATTGATATATATTCAAGATTTTCTACAAGAGTATTACAAGGTAATGTTTTCAATTTGTTTCTAAAGCAAAGTCTCAAGTTGTTGAAGCGACGTTATTAATCCGGTAGGCGTTTCCTTAACTTACGACCTTTGAGAATTATATGTCCTTATTATAGAACTCATTATAGAGTTATAGAGCTGACAAACAAACATATAATATTATGTGTATTTTGATGTAATAATACGATAAATATATGTTTTCAGTTATAATTTCTAATGTTGACTTAAACTGTCATACCTATGTGTTTATTATAAGACTTACCAGTTACCAGCCTTTTGCCTTCAACTTATAACTATAGATTAAAAACACTTTTTTACAGAATTTTAAAGACTATTTCTTTGTTATACACTTCCGTAGTTTTTAGATAATTTAAATAAATATTTCTAGTTAAAATAAATATAACATGTATAATTTCGAAACCAAATATAAAAATTAAGCATTACGACTGTTTTTTTTACAATGGTCGTAGATATCCAAAATTAATGAATGAGGATGAAGCTAGCCGTGTGGTGCCGGCTTAGAATGTCACCACCCCATTTCCTCCCGTGGGCGTAAGAGGCGACTAAGGGAATAACAACCGGATGACGGGCAGCAGCGTCATCCGAGTACATTTTAAATCCGACTGCGATCGCCAACCCGCCTGCCAAGCGTGGCGATTATGGCAAGAACCCCCCAACATGTACAACACGACCACAAACCGGCCCCTAGTCCCCGGCGGCTCCGCTATTCCTGGTCATAGTGGTAGCGACCAAGGTAACGGCGGGGCAAGGGGTGCTAAGAATCTCCGGCAGAGATCCGGCTACCACAAACAACGACGGATCGACCTGGCAACACTAAACACGCGTACACTGCGGACCGACGAGAAGATTGTCGAACTAGAGGAAGAATTGAGCAGGTTACGATGGGGTATCCTAGGATTATCTGAAGTCCGAAGACAGGGGGAGGGCTCGATAATCCTTAAATCCGGTAACTTGCTCTATTTCCGGGAAGGCGACCTTCAGTCCCAGGGTGGTGTCGGGTTTCTCGTCCACAAGTCCCTTGTCCACAATGTAGTGAAGATCGAGAGTGTGTCGACCAGGGTGGCGCTCCTGATACTCAGAATAACCAAACGGTATTCGTTGAAGGTCATTCAGGTGTACGCCCCGACCTCGGCACACTCAGACGATGAGGTGGAAATTATGTATGATGACATCTCCAGAGCCCTACATAACTCCAGAACCCACTACAGCGTGGTCATGGGTGACTTCAATGCCAAGCTAGGAAAACGAAGCGGTGAAGAGTCACGACTGGGACATTTTGGGTTTGGAAGTCGGAATCATCGGGGCCACATGCTGGCTGGCTTCATGGAGAAGGAGGAACTCTTTATGATGAACTCCTTCTTCAAAAAGCCCGAACAGCGAAAGTGGACCTGGATCAGCCCCGACGGGGTAACCAAAAATGAGATAGACTTCATCATGTCGACAAAAAAGCACATATTCAATGATGTCTCTGTGATCAACTCGCTTAAGTGCGGCAGCGATCACCGCATGGTAAGAGGCACATTGAATCTTAATATCGTGCTCGAGAGATCTCGCTTGATGAAGCCTACTCTCCGGCCTATACCCATCCAAATCCAAAACTGCGAAAGTTTCCAGCTTGAACTCCAAAATCGCTTCGAATGCCTAAATGGCGATGTGGACGAGTACAATGACGGGTTTGTAGAAGCTGTCCGTACGGTGGGGTCCAAGTACTTTAAGACCCGCCGTACCAATGCCACCAGAAAGCTCTCAGACCATACTCTCGAGCTCATGGAGGAAAGACGTGAGATGGTTTTCCGTTCGTCAAGTGATGCTTGTCGATACCGGCAGCTCAGCAAGCGGATCTCAAAGTCTCTTAAGCGCGATCTGCGTCGGTATAATACCGAACATATCAAAGATGCTATAGAGCGGAACAGAGACTTCAAAGCTTTTGCAAGAGATCTGACTGCTGGACATAGCCGGTTAAACAAGCTGAAGACTGACGATGGCAGAATCATATCGTCGAGGCCTGAGCTTTTGAGGGAAGTCGAGACTTTCTATAGACGGCTATACACGTACACAAGAGAGCCCGCTTCCAATCTCGCTGACGACCCAAGAGCGAGATTAACCCGACATTACTCCGAAGATATCCCGGACGTCAGCTTGCACGAGATTCGAATGGCTCTCAAACAGCTTAAAAACAACAGGGCACCGGGTGATGATGGAATAACGGCCGAGCTACTGAAGGCGGGTGGAGAACCGATCCTTAGGGCCCTTCAGAAATTGTTTAATTCCGTCATACTCGAAGGACAAACGCCACAAGCGTGGCACAGAAGTGTGGTGGTATTGTTTTTCAAAAAGGGTGATAACACCCTGCTGAAAAACTACAGACCCATCTCACTTCTGAGTCATGTCTACAAGCTGTTTTCGAGAGTCCTAACGAATCGCCTTGCACGCAGGTTAGACGACTTCCAGCCTCCCGAACAAGCCGGTTTCCGAAAAGGCTTTAGTGTAGTAGACCACATACATACGCTGCGGCAGGTTATACAGAAGACCGAGGAGTATAATCTACCTCTTTGCTTGGCGTTTGTGGACTATGAAAAAGCCTTTGATTCGATCGAGACCTGGGCTGTACTGCAGTCTCTCCAGCGGTGCCAAGTAGACTACCGGTATATTGAAGCGCTGAAGGGTTTGTACGAAAACGCCACCATGTCAGTCCGATTACAGGATCAGACCTCGAAACCAATACCTCTGCAGCGTGGTGTCAGACAAGGGGATGTTATCTCCCCAAAACTGTTCACCGCTGCATTGGAGGACGTCTTCAAGGTTCTGGACTGGAAAGGACTTGGCATCAACATAAATGGCGAGTACTTATCACACCTTCGGTTTGCTGATGATATCGTAGTCATGGCTGAGACCGTGAAGGACCTGAGTACAATGCTCGATGATCTCAATAGAGCCTCCGAACGAGTTGGTCTTAAGATGAACATGGAGAAGACGAAAATCATGTCTAATGTCCATGTTGTACCGACTCCTATTAAGATCGGAGGCTCTACGCTCGAAGTTGTTGACAGCTACGTATACCTGGGACAAACGGTCCAGTTAGGTAAGTCCAACTTCGAGAAAGAGGTCAATCGTCGAATCCAACTCGGCTGGGCTGCGTTCGGGAAGCTACGTAAAATCTTCTCGTCCAGAATACCGCAGTGTCTCAAGACAAAAGTCTTCGACCAGTGTGTGTTGCCAGTGCTAACATACGGCACTGAGACGTGGCCGCTCACGATGGGCCTTATCAGAAAGCTCAAGGTCACTCAAAGGGCAATGGAGAGGGCTATGCTCGGAGTTTCACTGCGTGATCAAATCAGGAATGAGGAGATCCGCAGAAGAACGGGAGTCACCGACATAGCCCGAAGAATTGCAGAACTTAAGTGGCAGTGGGCAGGGCACATCGCTCGCAGAACCGATGCCCGATGGGGCCAACGGGTTCTTGAGTGGCGACCACGAGCCGGAAGACGCAGTGTGGGTAGGCCCCCAACAAGGTGGTCCGACGACCTGGTGAAGGTCGCGGGAATCCGCTGGATGCGGGTAGCACAAGACCGGTCGTCGTGGAGATCCTTGGGGGAGGCCTATGTCCTGCAGTGGGCGTCTTCTGGCTGATGATGATGATGATGATGATGATGATGAAGCTAGTCACATGCATATATAATAGTGTGTAAATATATTATTAATCTGTGTTTGAAGTGTAATCTCTCTATAAAAAATGTAAAATTATTTTAAAGAAATAAGCTTCAACAGTGCCTAGGACTTGCGACCCAGGTGTAGGTTTAAGGGCCCATATCTAACGCGCTTTAAACGCTCACCTCCACCGTTCAATGTATAAAGTTAAAAAGTACTCTAATAGAAACAAATAAGGTTCAAATTCAATCATAAATATTAATAAATAGCTCCAAACTATCAGTGAAGTAGTAAATCTATACTAAAATTATAAAGCTGAAGAGTTTGTTTGTTTGTTTGAAAGCGCTAATCTCCGAAACTACTGGTTCGAATTGAATAATTCTTTTTGTGTTGGATAGTCCAGTTATCGAGAAAGGCTGTAGGCTATGTAACATCACGCTACGACCAATAAGAGCAAAGATATAGTGGTAAATGTGTAAAAAACGGGAGAAATTATTTCATCTTTGAAGCCTTCCGTTGCGTGCGCCGTGAAAACGGTACACAAAAATATGTATTAAAGAATAATAGCTCTTTTAATGATCTAAAAAACAGTCCGCAACAGTATATGTCTATCTTTTAAGATGAACTCACAAAAACCGTTTTTATGGTACCTAATTTGGTCGAAATAATTTGTTTAAGTTGTACCAACATAATAATATTAATATTTATTCAAATAAACAAATAAATATGTTGTTGGTTAAGAGTACTTCATTGTGAATATAAAAAAAACATATGTTTTATCCTGAAAATTCTACGGGAACTCGACCATTCCGAAAACCTCGCAAGAACGGGAACTATGTGGGAAGAACCAAAAATCTGCCGGAAGTCACTATTCCACGCGGACGGAGTCGCGGCAAAAGCTAGTTATAGATATTGCTATATATTCTTCTTTAAATACTCGTTCACATTGTTCCTAGCGCGACCAAACTCCATTGCGAAACAGTTATCAATTAAAGCCAGCGCGTGTTATCACCTCTCTAAGCCGATAACCATCGCCGCCGCCGTCTCTATCGTAATACATTATTATTTTCATTCACGTCTATTTTAATTCGATATTATCGTCATGATATAACGAAAACAAGCTTATTCTTAAATTGGAAATAAAAACAACTAATTATAAAAAATTAAATATGAGAAAGCATGAATAATATACGTATAATGTATTATGTCATTGTTTCTTTCATACCATTCAAGTAACAAAGGCTATTATATATTGTTTTGTTGTTTCTTTTAATAAACAAACAGTCTGTCATTCTGACATCTTAATCCCTGGAGTACGTCTTCTTCGAAGCAGTCAGACCTCGTAATGTGTCTAGTGTTCTGTTGTTGGCGTCATGTCGTTCTGTCACAACAACAGCCCACTAAGGAAGGGCTGTTGTTTTTGTTGTTGAAGGGATACTCAAATTCAGCAAACCCTAATCACATGGATTTATAATCATTAGAATATATACAGGTATCTGACTAGTTTTTGCCCGCGATTTCGTTCATGTGATCTTCGGATAAAGTTGGAAGGGATTTATAAAGTGTGTTTATAAAATAGCAATCTTAATATACAGGCGGCGTTAACTAGGGTCTGAATCAGGTGTCATATTAGTTACACCACAGACTTCCAGGTTAATTTATACCCTAATGAGATGTAAGACTTTCGCAAGTATTCATTTAAATAAATTTAATATTATTCTGATTATGTACTTCGCGTATTTTATTACTTTTAAAACTACATACTTCCGACGTTTTGGTTACTTTGCAGCAACCGTGATCACGTACTGACGAGATATAAATGAGATGTAAATTATACCCTATGTCCTTTTCATATGTCTAAACTACAAAATTGTTTAGTTTCATCATAATATGTTGAGTAGTTTTTCAATGAAAAAGCAACAAATATTAATTTTATTATTAAGATTAGTTCGATGAGTCAAATTGTATTAGTATTTGTGGCTTTTGTATAATGTTTGTATCTTAATGGTTTATTGACTCGGAAACAGTTTTTTTTGTGTCCGGCGTCAGGTAAGGCGTCGTGTGCACGTCTCATATTATATTGAACAATAAACAGGAATGGATACGTCTTCGGTAATGTATGTATAACTGGGTTTAGTATGCTATATTATTATACTTATTTTGCCTGCGACTTCGTCCGCGATAATTTCGGCATTAGTATCTAATATAGGTATGTATGTGTAGCTTTGATCTAAGATTTCCGCGAGCACTCATTTAAATGCGATTTTATCGCGTAGGAAATCCGAAAATATTCGTTTCATTTATATGTATAGCGGACCTGGCGAACTCTATTCCGTTCTAGAGACCGTAAATAACCAGATATTGGAATTAAGTAAGTTTTTTGTTACGATCAAACAGAATTAAACATCCTAGGTCCGTCTCCTTGTTCTAATCTATCTCTCCGCCAATTGTCATCCATATCCCTACAGCCGTTCTTGAGTTATAAATAGTGTAACTAACACGACTTTCTTTTATATAGGTATATATTATAGATATTGGACACACAAAATTAAAACAAATCAGAAGCAACTTTCAACTATCAATGTACCCACTCAATAGAAATATAACAAGAAGTTATCAAACAGATACAAACAAAGCCATAGAATAACACATGTCTATCATATAAGTATGAGAAGTTACCAAGTTTAATTGTATGTCCGAGTACAAGGATTCCTGATACTAGAACTTCACCTGACGCCACAGGAAATTACATCGGACAGAAAACACGCGATACAAACATACATACATATATAAGGAATAGTTTTCTTTTATATCAATATTCTTACATAAGTTACAAGGGGAATATTTCTATACAAGCTGATTTACGTTCTGTAACTAGTTTTAGAACTAAAATCATTAAAAATATAGTTGTCTTATAAAGTCAGTACTTTTAAATAATAAATCAAACCTTTACTTGAACAAACTAATTGTTATCTTAAACCAAAACCTTAAATAAGTTCAATTCAATTCACAAAGACACAAATCGCGGCAACACATACTTTCCCGCGTAAACAGTGAATAAAACAAATCGCTTTAACATCACTTCGGGTGCATTTGGGAATTTAAAGCTTTGGTTCGAATTAAATGTATGTTTCCTTTATACATATACATATACGGGTGTGTGTGTGTGTGTGTTTATATAGAAGTTTTCGTCTGTGTGTGTCTACCAATAAATGTATACAATACAAATAACATATCAACAAAACAAATCCTTTAAACGTCCCCAAGAACGACCACCGACCGTCAGCGCGTGGCGAATACATTACACTACGCACCAGGCATCTTGCTACTATATGAAAATATAAATCAACCTTATTATTTAAGAAATAAGGTTTAATTTCCATTCACAGCTCACCTTGCCAATTTTAATTATACGAATAAATGTAATGAACTTTATTTGTATGAACATAAAGTCTATTTCCGTATGATCGTAATAAACGTGAGATATCCCAAATTTGTAACTTTTTACCTTAAAATATTTCAAATCCCCCGGGAATGATATTCCTGGTGGATGCTGTACACAATCTATCAATGAAAAATGTTCCGTCCACAAAAGACATGACGTTTAGAATTAAAATTATATAAAAAATATGATTTTTTTGTTTTCGTAAAAAAAATATCTGTCGAAGCTCAAATCAAATAAAGTAACATATTCAGTGACTACGCTTTATAGAATAAACTAAAACTTATATATCGCATCTATTTACTAAGGCATTATAAATATTTTTTCTTGATTTCGGTCTTTCGTATTTATTACTAATTATTTTAGTATAAACCACAGATTAAGTCAGCTAGTACAAAAAAAATAGATCTGTAGTACATAATTCAGCCGTCATTATTTGTAAAAAAAATTATTATAAATATAACATAAATCGTAATTTAATTAAAAGTTTAATATAAAATATTATAAGTAGTAATAAGACACAATATTAGTTTTAATTCTGTTGTATATTTTCTTAAAGCTTGTCGTGTTTATCTGTTATTTGTTTAAAGCCGAGGCGAGTCAGGTCGATGTCACGTGTCCAAGAAGGATCGGGTTACAGCTCGTGAGGAACAGGGGCCGGTATACTGTGAGGTACAGGGTTCGAGTCCCGACTATGATATGTACCTTTACAATGATACGAGTTACAGGCACGATATATATAGGTGCCTCCTTATACTTCACTAAATATTACATTTATTTATATTTCTATATGTGTAAATGTTTAAAATGTCTCGTGTGTATGTAAGGAACCCAACATCGTTCTGCCCCAATCGTGTCCGCGGTCACATCACTGCCGAAAATCGCTAGCGCGGCTAATGATAGGTGATGTTAATTTACATTATTAGTTTTAAACGAGTCAAAGAATATTTGGGAGATATAATATTACGGACTCACGTAACCATAAAACATATAAACAGTGATAAATAAAACCTAATACTTAACTTTGATTAAACTATGAAATATTATTCCAATTATACAAGTTAAAGTTTCCCGCCAACCGAGCCGCGTCACTCGCTAGACTCGCGCCACCAAACAGAACACGGCTTATAATTTCAAAACAATAATGTCGTTAAAACAAAGCTCAAAGCCAATCTTGATAAAACGTTGACATTGCACGCTTTTTAAAAGGACTCCTTTTATTTTAGGACCGGAAAGACGTTTTATTTTTGCTTGTTTATCTCGAAGCTTGTCAACAGCCTCCATCATCACGTAATTAGAAAGACAAGATGATTTTTTTCATATTAATTGACCGGCTTCATTACCACACAAGCCATTATAAACCCTATATATAAGCAATAAGGTTGTATTTTCTCTGTAGTTATATTTGATATTGAATTTTGACAGGTCCGTCGGGCGGGAGTTTTTTTTATTATTATTTATTATATTTCGGTGACGCCGCCATTTCTGAGTGATTCTTATATGGATACATTCTTTGTGATTTGGGTTAATGCAGTTTTTAATTACCATAACAAGATATGTGAGCAAATATATGATATTGATTTATGATTACGGTTTCAGACAAGGATATGTTCAGAATGTGGTTTCAATAAGTTTTATGTTGTGTACACAAACATTAAGACGACGAAGATATAATGTGAATCAGTAAATTTGAATATAGTATTACATATATCGTTAAATATATATAAAAGTTTTTGTACGAGTTACAAACAAATTTTTATTAGTTTATCTAAATTCAAAATCTTCATTAGATATTATAAATTGTCCAATAGTCGAAGTATCTTTGAAATTGTATCAATTATTAAAGTAATTAATAAAACCACTGCATCTCATGAACTTAATCATATTATACATAGGTATTTAAGACACCTAAATGTAATGTGTTTTTACATAAAGATACCCATTGTCTCTCCTCATTCGTATTTTATGATTTTTTTAAACATGATTATTTTTCTATTCTCGTCATATAATTACTAGTCAACTATATGTTTTACTTTACGTGTATTCTGTAGTTTTAACGTTAGTTCTCATCGTCACACGTCGTACGCGGCGTTTCCAGTAAAACATTTAACTAAAACGACCTATTGATTTAAAAAGTGGTAAAGAAAATTCAGTTTTTCTTTTTTGTTTTTTCTCGGTTGAAATAAATGTAATTATTTTATATAAAGTTTATTTGTAATACTTTAATCGTGGTTTGATAAGGTTCCTTTAATCTTTGATATTATTCGTATGTAGAGATATGAGAAGATTAAAATTTAATATTTTGTTAGTATTGATAGTAACTGATAACAATGATAACGACCAGCCTTATCGGTACATCGTGGACACTCAGACTGAATTATTGACGAATTATATAAAAAAGTATTTATACAATAAAATTATAATTGAAAAGTATGTAATATTCTATAAATATTTTTAATGTTAAATTAATATTGGTTTGTTTTTTAATTATTAACTAGTTTTGAAATTAAGTAATATTATCATTATACGTGTGTATGAGATTCTAAATTATTTTTATATACTGTTTATGTTTTAAAAAGAATTTGGTAGCATTTGGTAGAAATTAGTAGGATTTGGTAGAAAAATAAGCTAAGTTCTGTCAAATTGTTCTTTTCTATATAAATAACAATAAATTAAATGTTATTTCGATATGATTGTTTATTTAATATATATATATATTATATCTAGTAATCTGAGATCCACTCCATAGATATGATTCCAGCACAACATTATCCGGTCCGTTTTGATTTTTACAACAGCGCATATCTTATCAGAGTCGACCTTGGTTACATCGGATTGTATTTAACAATATATTATACTTATCATTTATATAATTGCGCAAAAATATACTTACTTAGATATAGATTATAATATAGATGCTCTGATTTATAAAGGTTATTTCATTAATGAGAAATACCTATTTATAATTGACCAATGAGTTTTCATTAAAATCATGAATAACATAGAAAATTTATTTTCTTTATTTCATTTCTATTGGATAAATTGTACTGTATATGTTGAAGATAATTTTTTTTCTGTTACTGTTTTCCAAAAATCAATGTTTTATATTTTTATTTTGATATATCTAACAATGAATTGTACCTAATGAGATCTAGAATTTTCGTAAGTTTTATAAATTTAAATGAGACTAATTTTTTTAACTCACATTTCATCTGTCCGTGATCACGGTTGCTAAAAAGTAACCGAAACGTCGGGAGTATGTAGTTTGTAATCAAAAATAAAAACGCGAAATAAAATCAGAAAATATTAGTTTCATTTAAATGAGTATTCGCGATAATATTGAATCTCATTCATTCATTTCTATTGGATAAATTTTACTCTGTATATGTTAAAGATAATTATTTTTAATCTATTACATATTATTTAAAAAAATATATATGTTTCATTTTTATTATTTTGATGTAACAATAAGTGACTGTAGCGTCTTTTTAAACACTATTTGTTGATTTGTTTGTATTAATTACGACCTTTACCTTTTCATTACGTCATACCAATAGTATCGACACCTTAATACATACTCATCGTCCCGTATCCGTGCTGTTCGTTCCTCGTCTCATGGCGTCGATTTTTAATCGTATTATAACATTACGTCCAATCAATTAGCCCATCTAATTAATCACGGCGGCCGTCACTCCGCTGACAGCTGCTGTCACTCTGACAACTGTCACTTGTGATACTCGTGACAGCTCAAGGTTGAAGCCGAGGGTGAAGGGGTGACGGCTGCAACTGTCTTGTATGTTAAACTCTTTGGTTTAAACCTCCTCGCTAACTTGTTGATAGACACCAAAACTTTAACAAGTTTAATCACAAATCATAATAATTATTATGGTTGTTAACATTAATATCTTTATATATTTCAATATAATAATTTAAAAATATATACTGAACATAAATGAATTTTTGGCTAGCGATTTGGTATATTTTCGAATGATATTTGATCATACAAAATTTTACAGTAAAAGTTTTCCGTCGGCAATTGTTATACGAATTTGTTAATTTCATATAAGTTGATTTATTTTACTATCGCTTAGAGTTTTTTGTGTGTTCTTATCAAAGTATTGAGTACATTATTATTAGTAGTTTTTTTCTATCACACGGTACTCGGTAGCTTTATCTAGACCGGCGTTATTGTTATGAAGGAATCAAAGTTAAATATTTGTAATCACGTTATCTTGTGAGCGGCGTCCTCTCTAATCCTAAAACAATTTAGTTACAGGCGTGGGAAGACGATCTGGGTGGTAGGAACGTAAACTGATTTATTGCATGAAGGTCCCGGAGTTGAACTTGACACTGTCGTAGAAACTAACGTGATTGAACACCAATAAGACGATCACAATTATCATCATAACAAACACTACTACATATATCTTCACTTTCTTCTTCTACCTGGCAATTTCCCAGCTTTAGCCAGGATCTGCCTTACATGTTGTGAATAGTTTTGGTTAATTGTTTTTATGACCGGCTGCCTGACATCATCAACCCTCTTTGGGAATGCATTAATCAGTGATGTCTAAATACTCTTAGAAAGTACATATGACTCGGAAAAATCACTTTGGTACTTGCCCGGGCCAGGATCGAACCCGCGCCCTCGTGCATGAGGTGTGGGCCTTTTAACCACTAAGCCACCACTGGCTTATTATTCCATATACATATATACTTCAGTATGCTTAATACAAGTCTGCATAATCACATACTTACAAAAAGTTTCTCGTATAAAAATGTGATCATATTTCTGAATGTATACTATTAACTCTACGTATTGTGAGGTTGCAAAACCGTAAGCGAACAGTTACTTCAATAAAACTATAGATTTCAAGATAGAATGATAGTTTTTACATTTTAACTGGTGATTTATTTTATTATGAGCTTTGTATTAAGTGGTGTCGTATCAGCGATCTGGTGCGAGCTCCCAAAGGAGGTGATCACTCATGATGGAGATGCTTTGAAGACAAGACCCTCAGGGAAACCTAGACCCACGGGGAAGGGTTCGAACATATGAAATACTTACATGAATATGGTTATAATTATATTGGAAACAATGTAATAGTATAATAATTTGAGTAGATATTTCAAAATTTTTATTACCTAATTAATATTTTTTCAATAATATTCATAATATTTTCACCTGGCCATTTACAAGTTTTGCTTATTTTATTTATAATCTAGAATAGCTCTCGCATTCATGTTATGTATCTATTTAAAATATAATAAAATTTGATTCTAAAAGTTTTTTATCTAACTCTACTTTTATTTTCACTCACACAAATGCAAAGCTCAGCTTAAGTCTAACGGACTATAACATAATATATTAGAAACTTACCTTTTTTATATATGTAAAAATATTTAAATTAAAACTTTACAGTTTTACTAGATTGAGGTTAAAGTATCTTATTTTGCTATCTAGAAATCTTGACACTGTAAAATTGTAAAAAATTAAACAAAATTTACCCACGATTGTATTAAAAATGTGCGAAATAAGTTTTTTTAAATAAATTAAGAAAAACTAACAATGGCTATAATGAGCAAAAGCATCTCCTTCAGACTTTAATTATCTGTTTTAAGAAATTACTCGAAAAAATTAACAATTATATTATAAAGTTAATAATAAGATTGATCGGATGTAACGCTACACATTTACTGATTACTTAAATGTCGAAACAAAAGTTAATACATTAAAGTACTTTTGAGTCATTATATTCTGTTTTTATCTTTAAAAAATCAATAATATTCAGTTTTTAATTAAGATCCTTATTATGTTACTTAAATTAATTATTTTATCTGTGCAGTTATAATAGTATTGGTGTACAAGTTTCACAGTACAGTCGAAATATTTTTCGTCATAACGACAGTAAAGCGACAGCCTAGCGACCCACCGTACACCCAGGTCGCGTCCTCATGTCGTGGTACCGGCCACGTCGCCTACTCGTGTTGACAGTAATCATAAAAAATACTCATGATAAAGAAAAGTCGACAGCGAAATTTAAATGTAACTCAAAAAACTGAAACACACTCCATCCATTATTAATGAAAGAGCACGTCACAACACTATGATATGATTATCCACTTGTACCTAATAACCCTTTCATAGTAAACGACATTTAATTTTAAACTTTAAATCCTACAAATAAAGATTTGTTTTAAATGCTTCAATATTTCATTCATAAGTCGATTTTAAATCTAAGTAATCTTGTACAGGTTTAAAACAATACTGACCATAACTTAATAACAGAAGATTGAAATTCAAATGAAAATTTATAATCAAATCAAACATCGATGCGTTCCAAATTGTTCTCTATTGTTACGATATAGAGTTTAAATTCGTGGAACGTTGAATACATTAATAGCGTGTAAAATGATAGCTCATTGTTTTGTGTATGAAGACGTCGACTGTCGATAAGAAGCCGTTTTTTGTTTGATAAGTGTCCGAGACGACGCTAATGGCGACGCTGGAGAAAACACGTCTCACTATATTATATATAAGAAACAGTCACAGGAGATCATCACTAAATATACGGACAGTACACAATAAAAATGAAAATACCATCGCAATAACAAAATAAAGTAAATATACGCTTTGTATATATCCTTTCAATTAAAGCCAACATGAAATAAACAAAATGGCGGATACGTTTAATGAAATAATGTGAAGTGATCCGTCATCCCTTTCTCACGTTAAGGAGCTCGCGATTTTTACTCAGTTATTTATTTAATTTAAACAAAAAATAATATTAAAACCGTTCAGAACGAGCCCTGACCATTGGCTCAAAACGGGCGCTTCCGTTGTAGTGCGAATGAGACGGACATACGAATAACACATGAGAGGGAGAGAGATGGATGGATACACTACAACTTAATTGAATAGGGCCATGACAGGTCGATAGATTGTTATCGATTAAAGAAATGTAAAGTACATTCATGTATTATTAAATCGTTTTCGTTTAGCTTTTCAATCGAATAATATTATTAGAATTCTATATCGTTACTCATAAAGAGGAAATTTAAGTATAATTTTACTTAATTTTTGTCACTTATAGAGATCATTCTTGCCTTCCCACTTCCATGTATACAGGGTGACTGGTGAATTACTATCGATATTTGAGGACGTGATATTTGACGATCATATATGACGAAATAAAAATTAATATAACATAAATATTAATAAACTTCTAAGTAAAGTTAACCAAAAGTTATGTAATTAATTACGCATCGTGTGAACACCCTACAGATTAGGTATACACACACACTCACACATACGCGTGCGTTGTATCAGCACGCCGCCGCACGCGTCCACACTTAGAACACTTGGAACGTGTACACACTTTATTTATTTATACGGAAATTTGGTCAAAAATTAAGTGCCTATTTTTTTTACATAATTCCAATGAGAATCATGTACCGAGTATGCTCCTTAAATATTGATAGTAATTCACCAGTCACCCTGTATAATTTATAATAATTTTCATCGATACCGCAGCACATCTCTACGTATCATATCGTTATCTGTCTCGGCCGGAGCATTAACACGTCCGAGCTCATTAAAACGACCTCCATTATAATAAATTGCCAAACGAATTTGAACCTTTTTGAGATACAATAAGAGCTTTGGTAGAACTGAAATGTATATAATGTATGAGCTATTTTAGACTTTATTTCATTGCATTAAGGTATATAACTATAATAGTATTTTGTTAATAGTGAGCTGTCACAGACGTTCTTAACGGACAATTGTATCAAAACGGAATATTAGTTGGTTGTTATGTTTTATCGAAAACTTGGCGATCAGAAAGATCCACGGATCAAGATCCAGCATCCAGTATCCAGGGATACATATTATATATAAAAAGATCCAAGCGATAATATTAACTTGTTATATGAAGAAGTTTTATATAAAACTCATTATACTTACTAAAAAAGTTATCTCCTTTTAAATATTATTATAGTATTGACGTAATATAATAGTTCTATATTTAACGATATTTTAATTAATCTTATTATCGGAAGAATCTAATAAGTACATACTTATTATTAACCTTTGTACGTTTGTAACCACGTTATTATTCATATTATGTTTATTATATCATAATTTCATGCAATTCTATCATTATTTTCTTAGTGTCCGTCTACTCAGTTTATTGAGATTTAAATTTAAATATAACATTCAAACATATAAAGGAAGATAAGCAAAATATTTAATCATCACAATTCGGTCGTACCTACTTATATATATATTTTATATATGACTAAATAGGGGAGAGTCGGATATATCGTACCACTTTTCACTTTAACTCAAATATTTCGACTATAACACGTCTTATAATAATTAATACATATGTAAAATAAAGTTTCATATTTTAGCTTCCTAAGAAGAAGAGAACAGATCCTTGCGATTACTCTAACATTGTTAAAAATGCTTTTTTATAGAGGCTTGCCATCGGTACGATTTAGCCGACTAGTCGTTTTAATCGTACCACTTAGTCTTTAAATCGTACCATGGGCGTTTAAGTCGTACCACTGAATAAAAAACATTAAAATTCCCAATCAAATTATTTATTTATAATTGTTAGGTAAGTAATAAAACAACATTATTTATATCTTTTAGGTAATAGAAATATTATAATTATAATTTTTAACTCTTAAGTTATATAAAGGAACTATAAGCTTTCTCAGTAAAATAACATGATTATACTATGATTATGAGATCAATCAACATAACTAACAAAAATGAGACAAAAAAAAAAACAGTAAACTATAATAATAAAGTAACAGTTAACAAGAATGTTATTTGTAATATAATTATTGTGCATATTTCTTAATGGAAGCAATCATGACAGAGGTCTGGATTCGAAGTACACGTCTCATGTAGCCACCGTTTACAGCGAACGATTGAATCCAATCAACTTTTGGACCCTTCTTATCGTAGTAAGAACAATTGCACTTTCGACATATATTTTCAAGATAATCATCGCTGTCATCATCATCATCTAGTTCTACAACAAGTGTCTCTCCTGAATCATCGCTACTGGTGATGGAATGAGATCGTTTCCTCTTATAACTTTTGTTTTTGGCCTTGGGTAGTACTTACTATACGTACTTGCGGTAGTACTATAGGTACTTGCGGTTGGTAGTCGGGTAAATCGTACCAGTACAATTTAACCAACTGCAAGTGGTACGATTAAACCAACTAAGGCATTTCTAAAACAAAAGCAAATATCCCGCATAAACTCAAAACTTAGACACGCAACAAAAACCCCCAATAATCTAGTATACAATTGTGGAATAATAAAAAAAACTGAATTACTATAGCTTACCTTGATTACGAGTTATCTCCTTACGAATGTACGACAATATTTATATTAATTCCTACAAAAAATGTTTTTCTTTTATTACGTGCACAGTTGTTAACTCATGTCGATTTAAACTAGTGGGTGAAGAGGGATGTTACAGGGCCACGATTTGGCGTTGTCAGTGTAGAAAAAAATATTCATTAAATGGGAAATTTAGAAGTGGTACGATTTAAATGCTAGTACGATATAACCAACTCTCCCCTAAGTACTTACGCTCTGGAGGCGGAAAAAATATATGAAATATTATAAGTAAGAAAGATCGTGATCAATGATAACTGTGTAACACAAATAAGTAGGTAGATATACCAAATAATATACATATCTGACAGTAAATAAATTAATATATGTATATACAATAATATAAACTACTGGAAATTTCAATGCCTACTTAGTATAATACTATGTACCTATGTAGGAGACGAATTGATATAGAACTAGCTTTCGGCCCGCAGCTTCGCCCGCGCGGAGTTCGGTTGTATCGCGTTTCCAAGAGAACCTTTCAAAAGTCTGGGATAAAAACTATCCTATGTTCTTTCTCACGGTCAACTAAGTCTCTGTACCAAATTTCATTAAAATCAGTTCAGTGGTTTAGGCGTGAAAGTAGGGATACCTACATCACATTATATACTTAGGTATATTTAATTTTACTGAAATGTGTTTTTAATTTTATGATTTAATTTTTTTTTGTTTATCTATCGAATGTCGCGTTACAATCGAATGCAAATGTCAAGATATCAGGTGATGATGAGTTTCATTGTCTAAAATTCTTGAAAGCAAGTCTCATACTAAGAAAAGTATAAGTAGGTACCTAGGTATAAAACTCCTCAGAATAGTAAATATCAATATAACAATGTAGGTATTTATTACAATAATGTACCCACAGTAATAGGGACCAGTTAAAACTTCGATTGAAATTAAAGTGTGTAATGGGTATATAGTTAAATGCTTATTATCATAAAAATAGTCAACTTCCGTCGTGTCTACAGAAAAAACACAATATTTTAACTGTTTTTTTAATAATATAAATAGTTTTAATTTTAAGTATTTAAATTTAAGTTATTGTATACCTAATACTAGAATGTTAGTAACTGCCATTGAGGTATTTTTTATATACTCATAACCTATCATTATATATTTATGTACCTATCTATATACTTAAACCTATGTGTTATGTTATTAAAATCGATTAAAAGAACATCGCTATAAAACGATAATCCTTTATGTTACATTTTTAAACATACTTTTGTATATTTACATTTTACAAGAGATTCAGCGATTTGTGTTAAAAATGTAGGTATTTATTGGCCTAAAAACTAGTAAATGAATAATTAAAAATATACATACAGGCGCTAAATGTTTTATTTATATTTAATATAATAAAACAATACGTTATATATTGAAAAGAAAAGTAAGTACAGGACGTTTTTGTTTCTTTAGATCGCCTTAACTTCCGCAGATAATTTTCTGATAAGACATAAAATGTATCAAAAATAAATACGTTCATAAATAATAAGTGTTATATAAGATTAGGCTCCTCGTGGAGTCTAGAATAAAAATAAATACATGTTAGATATAAAGAGATAAAGAAACCAGACACGAACTGACAGAGACAAGGCTCGCTATACAATAAACGTTATATATTATACTATATATACATATATAGTTACATATTATAAATGACCAACATAGTGTATGTAATACATAAACGACGGAGAGGTGAATCATTCAAGTCTTAGAATCGATTCACGTCACGGGAATAAATTGGAGCGTTTCAAGTAAACGTGGCCCGGAGCGGCCCGGGGGCAGGAGGGAGGGGGCGCCGGGGAGAGCGGGGAGGGGAGGAGGGGGACACGACAAATAACAAGCAACATCCAGCCTCCGAGATTCGCGAGCGTTATCTCGCTCCGACCAATACAAAGTGTACGCTCTGAAGCTTCTCAACCATTGGCGGGCCCGGCCCTGCGCCCCGCCCATGAGGAGCTCGGGCCCGCCGGCAGAGAGGGACCGGGCCTAGCGGGTCAGTCGGGCCGGAGACGCCGGGGCAGGGACACGTGAGGCCCGCGCGTGACGAGGTGATGAGTGTGATGTGAGGCGAGCAGACATGATGATCATGGACGTCGGCATGTACAACAACACGCACACGTACAGCGGGGACTGCTACCAGCAGCCGGCCTACAGCTACGACGGGTACGAGGGGTACTACGAGCCCGCCACCTACTACGACCAGCTGGGGCACGCGCCGGGACATGACGCGCCGCCCGTCATCAGCACGGACACGGGGCTGTGCTACACCAACCTGGACTATGGAGAACAGGCGGCCAACTACCACCTGGCGACCGTCCCGCCCGCGACACACGACGAACACAAGATAGACAATCATTACATAGACACTAAGTATAACATGCAGTACATGGATGAAACGCAATATACACACGGCTCGCCTCTAGCGTGCGGGGAGTACGACGCCTACCACAAGGACTTCCCGGAGCTGAGGGAAGGATTCCCACGGGAAGAAGTGCAGCACGTCCAGCCACACGCGACCCATGCTACCGTACCGACTTACAAGTGGATGCAGGTCAAGAGGAACATCCCTAAACCCGCCGGTGAGTGACTCTTAGGCATATGAAATACAAAATATTAAACAAAGTAATTGCGGATCAGAAAATCAAAGTCATTTTTTTCATGAATCTAAATAACTCTATTCTGTAATGTATTGCTCATTTCAATCAAAGATCTTTTGCCATCTTTCAGACATCATAATCCGACGTTCATAAAACTTTTGGTTTTCGCAAAAAACTGAATTCGCAATGATTTATTTGTCAACCTATTCTAACGCACATGGCGCCGCCAACAGTGTCGTATAAAGAATAAAGTTTATCATGAAAAACATTATTCTGATATGATTGTGTCGTATCTGCCGGGATTTTTCTCAGTTTATCTCCCCGTCGAGACTCGAGACCGGTTTATCTCAACATTTGAACGATTTCCCCAAACGTAATATCTAACAGAAACACAACATATTATCAACAATAGTTTTTTTACTTCACTATAATAACCGCTGATAATTCTTATATAACAATGTAATCTTTATCTAGTCTTATTTTAATAAAATAACGTAAATATTTTCAATCGATTACTAAAGTTAAAAAACTTTAAAATCCTAAAATAAGAACGGCCACGGGAAGTGAGAACTTCAGCGAAATTTAATGAGCCAATTATCCATTTTAGTAATGTTTTCGTCACTATTTCTAATATAACTCCGACCTTATGTAATAATAGATAAAATTTTTGTGAAACAATTTTATCTGAGTTCGCGGTATTCGATAAAATCATTTTTCTCACGAACTTGAAGATTTTATACGAGTACATTTTCTTATTTATAAAATACACTTATACTACGAGTATAGTCATACTTGGCTTAGTAATTATCGAAAATCTTATTGAATTACAACTAATAGAATTACCTATTAGAACGTCATCTTCTGTATATATAAAAATGGATTGGATTGGATTGCTGTTCCTTAGTCTCGCTAAAACTCAAGAACGGCTGAACCGATTTGACTAATTTTAGTCTTGAAATACTCCTGGAAGTCTGGACTTTTTTCTGGGAAAGGTTTAAAAGGTGATAAAAATTTGAATAATTGCCGGAAAAACCCTAAAAACAGCCCTTTTCTATTTCCCATACAAACGCTTTTTTTTGACATTAGATTTGACAACTAACTAATATGTCCATCATTCTGTTTGATTGAAACAGGAAAAGTTCAATAAATACCAATACCTGGTTATTTAAGACGGAATAGAGTTCGCCCGGTCAGCTATACATATGTATATTACTAATGACGAAATTAACGCGGACGAAGTCGCGGGCAAAAACTAGTTGTAAATATAGAAGACATGTTGAAGAAGAAACAAAAGTATTTTTGTCGTAAGCCAATAAGAAGCCATCTTCGTACATCGACTTATAACAGTTAGTTACCGCCCTACATCAATAACAAATTTTAACTTGTCTAATTTCAAGTTCACTTCAATAAAATATCTCCAACAGATTTTAATTCATTTATCAGCTTCGACATAAGAGAAGAAATAAAAAAGGTCTCTTTAAAATTGCGTTGAATTATAAAAATATTACTTTTTAATTTCATTTACACTTAAAATTTAAAATAATCTGTTTAGATGACAGACAAACAGACAGAAAAATATCGTGTAAACATTTTCATTGGCAGTTTTCAACATGCCAAAATTAATATTATTCAAGGTAAAACTGTCTTAAACAACATAAAAACTAAATATATACCTAATGACGGAACTATATCTAATAATGAATGGATAATTGTCATATGAGTGACGCGGATAATGTAATATGTCAACAGTGGCGTTACAACCATTAACATACTTATACCTTGCATCCCTACTAATATTATAAATGCGAAAGTAACTCTGTCTGTCTGTCTGTTACGCTTTCACGCCTAAACCACTGAGCTGATTTTAACGAAATTTGGTACAGACATAGAGTTAACCTTAAGAAAGAACACAAGATAGTTTTTATCCCTGACTTTTGAAAGGTTCTCTTGGAAACGCGATATAAACGAACTCCACGCGGGCGAAGCTGCGGGCGGAAAAGTAGTACATTATATGTTATTTAACATATGGATACCTACTTCATACTACTTTATCTTCTTCTTCCTGGCAATTTCCCAGCTTTAGCCATGGTCTGCCTTACACGTTGTAAATAGTTTTGGCTAATTGTTTTACGATCGGCCGCCTGATTGACATCAACATATTTTGGGAATAAACTACTTATTTCAAACTACTTTATATGACATAGTACATATAATAGTTCAAATAGTATTTGTATTTTAATTAATTGAAATAAACTCTTGCTTTGAGTCTAAAGATTGTTTTATCAAATACATGTTTAAATAAATTAACCTTTTAAGGAAAGATTTAAAGATAGGTATCTACTTATATACCTACATTAGACAGTGATTTGTTACTTTTATTCCACTTTCTATCTTGTAAGGGCATATTAAATAATCCATTAATAATAAATAAATTATTTTTACCGTATGTTATAGTTTTTATATTTTTATAATAAAAATAATTCTTTAATATTTTTCTTTCCTATTGTCTGTCAAATAAACATAACAATTAGTGTTTTGAAAGGATAAAATAATATGACAATTCAAATTAATTGCTAACTTAAAATATTCATAATTTTCATTAGCTCTCTTAAACATTTAAATTCCTTACTACAAGTTTGCATCATATCACATACGACTCGTTTTTCGTTTCTCATTCAATAACTATAAACGTTAATATAATGTGATCCTAATGAATGATTAACTGTTAACGAGGAGTTTGTAGTGGAGAAACTTGTAGTAAACATACTGAGATAATTAATTGTTTAATTTACCACGAATTAATAGTGACCACAATGATATTTGACAAACATATATTGTATTTAATAATATTTCTGTTTGTCTCTACATATTATTTATTTTTTAAATGTACCCCACCAATTATTTAAATATCAATAATAAAATAATAATTAAATGAATTTATCTATCGGTGTCAGTAGGTACCCTAGAGTAACCTTTGACATCATCATTTGATCAGTTCACTCTCACTTTAACATCCAGTCAGGCGCGAACATTTAATAATAGAGAGGGTTCCGTATAATATACATAATAATAAGTCCGTATAACACATAAACCAACTAAATGACTTATGATATCTAAGATTTTCGCGTCACATCAAATAAAACTAAGCTTTTTGTATAATTTATTTATGATTTTTAACTACGTAATCGTTGCTTATAATTCCACAATTAAATTTGAAATCACCAACCCGTCTTGAACAAGCGTGTTGATTAATGCTCAAACCTTCTCCATGTGAGAAGAGGCCTTTCAGCAGTGGGCTCTGATAGGATGATGACGAAACGTTGCTTAAGAGTTAAGACCAAAGGTTTTAACTATAAATACAATTAGTGTAACAAAATTCATACATTTTCTTATTAAGTACATTGCTTATCTATTTTTATTATAATAATTTAATAATACTTCAATATATGTACATATACATAGGGGAGCGGGGGGCCAGTTGTTACAGGGGTAAGAAGTTACACGCATTTTTTACCGGGATTTTTAACTCTTTGGTAGACGTAAGTGGACTCATTTGTTTTCTTATAACATCGTGCGTTGCAAAAAAACAATCAGGGACCCGAGAAGCGGCTAACTGTTAGGTTGTGTGCACGTGTCTCGATTTCTATCAAGTTCGTAACAAAATCTTTTACGAAATTTTTGATTCCTGCTGTCTATATTTGTTATTCTCTAAATTCTTTTCGCCTCGTACGTTCATAATGTATCGAGTTTTAATTTTTAATAGCGTTTTATTCTGCTATTGATATCCATTAATGGCGGCTTTAATTTTAATTAAAAAACACACCATGGGGCAGGTTGTTACAGTTTTTCGGGGTAGGTTGTTACATGTAACAACTTGCCTCAGATCCTGTATTACTGTTCATCTCATTGACTATCATTTAGAAATTACTACGCTGTACTTAAAATTTAGAATAAATGGAAAGTGAAAAAATGAAATCATACAAATGACATCATACAGGCAATTGAAACAGCAACCAATTTATTACCTGACACTATTAACAATATTAATGTTTCACCTTCTCCAAATCCAGCTTGTTCGCAAGATATAGAATGTTTAACAACATAACCGAGTGCAGATTCGTCAAGTTTTTAAAATAAAATTGAATTAGCGATACGAGGTCCATCTGGTATACAAAGTACATTTGAAAATTTTTCGCCTTCAAAGATAAGGTCCTTTCCCAAGGCAGAGGCTCAAAAACAATCCATCCATAACCGTCGTAAACGTAAGTCCGCTGTATTAACCGATAAACCAAAATAACTAAAATAAACGATATATAAGATTTAAGAAAGTTCCTGCCAAAGTTATGTGATTATTACTGTTAAAAAGTTGGAAAATTACGATATAGATATTATAATTGCTCATAAATGTTATAAGACTGATCAAAATAGTTTGTTTTTTTCATAACGTTTTGAAATAATAAAAAATAAATGATTTATTATTGTTCATTTTGTTTATTTACCCACTGTAACATCGTGCCCCGAAGCTGTAACAACTAGCCCCAAGTCAGGGGTAAGTTGTTGCAATCGACTTATTTCATTAATTCTCTATTTTGGGAAAAATTACGTAAATTTTAATATTTTTCCAATTGTATTCTACTAGCTGAATAGACACACTAATGGTAAAAGCAATCAGATGTATACATTTTTTGGTAGCTTTTGTGATATTAATAATTATCTAAAAATTGTAACAACCTGCCCCCCGCTCCCCTACTTATATTGTACGCGTGTGTCTGTACATGCGTTCCTCGTTTCAAGCAGTCAGTTTGAGTCACGAGTACATTATGTCAAATTATTTGTCTGTTTGTGTCAGTAGAGGAGGTGCGACCTCTGACTCTGTCTGACGTGCCATGTACATACCTACACACACACACACATACATACCAGTATTATATAAGCATCAGTCAATACAAATACTTTCTTTAAAAACAGTATTACATTCACATAATGTCTA